GTCTCAAACATTATTAACGCTTCGATGTCCTCTGACAAGATCGCACAACAGATTAGTGTCCGAATCAACACAATGACATTCTGAGTTGTGCATTCCTCGATATCAGTTATCACCGTGACAATTCTGAGGCATCTATCGCTGCAAGATCGCACGCAGAATCGATGAAAGCATCAGTGAAAACTCGAAATGAATTCCTCGTCTCAGCCAGAAATATCGGAACAAGACAAGAATCCTTTACTATTGCCACAGTGAAGGATCGCATTCTGTAAACGGGAGCTTGATTCGAGCAAACTAAAACTGCATAAAATACGAAAGTTTCTAAAAAGTAGGTTTCAAATATGAATTTAGGAGTTTTTATCACAAAGATCAAACCCAAAAATCGACTTATCTAAGATTACCTGGATTGGTCAATGAGCTGTTATCAGTAAAGTAAAAAAAGTTAGCTTGTGAACTATTGAACGTCAAAATCTCGCAAAAAGAACTAATGTGACAAGCTTCTGCTGTTTGATTGTATTGTTGATGGGTTTAAATTTTGCTAATGATATGTTATGATGTTGTTAAAACAGTCCATCACTGTTATATGATATTTATATGTGGTAGCGTTGAACCGCTGTAAACAGATATTAGTGTGCGATGTGTACAAATAAAAATACTGTAATATGATTGTTTTCTTTTTTGAATTGTGTAAAATGAATTAACAAATACTTTCAACATTCCGTATTTCCTGCACTCTTCTGTTTGCTTATTTTAACGAGAATTCTCGTTTTAAAGCCAGAAATTTTGACTCAAAAATTGCGGCTGAACGTTTCCAAACTTCTGTTGCTGTTATTTATGGTGGAATTGAAGAATTCAAATTGTTTGAAATCTGTGTTTGAAACCGCGACACGTTTTACCTTCCGGTGCATCCTTTTTATTGTCTCTGTTCGAAGATTGTGCATTTATCATCAGAAAGAGCGAAGTGCTGCGTGAATATCTGAGAGTCTGAAATTTTATTTTGAAATTTTTGGTTGTTTTACAAAGCATCATTTTAAAATTGTGATAAGCGATCTATTTGCGTTTACATTCAGCAACGCTTTCAGCACGTCAAACACTGAAATGAAGAACTGAAGCAAATTCAGTTGATGATAATGAGTAGAACCTTCTTGGGTTCTTGATAATTAAATGTGCGGCGCTTCGGTGTGGTAGTCTCATGTTATTAGCATCAGAAATCAAAGGTGGTGATGACAAAATCTGCGCAATTTAGACTAGACAAAACCACTGAAAGGTTTCGAAAAATANTAAGCCGGAACCTCATTTTTCGGTTGTTTCTGCTGACAGTGGCAAGTATAAGCAAGCTTAAATCTCAAACATTACGCACAACTGAAAATGCTACCAAAGGGTTTTGGTAGGTGCCAGCGAAAAGTCAACATCAAATGGTTGTCGATTCAGCTTTCGACATCAGAAGCGTCGAGAAATCCGCTGAATTTTAGACTGAAAATGATTCTTATAGACAAAAGTGACTGATGCAATCACCACATTGATTATACACTTCAATCGACAGACTCAGTCAATTGATTGAGCACGTTCGAATATTTTGCCATAATATACGGCTACATGTCGATTAACATTCAACAGCAGCTTTCTTGGTGTTTGACTAATTCGGTTCGATAACTTACAGCATTTGTAATTTCATGATCGTTATTCAAAATTCATATCCCGTTGCAGAAAGCACCCTCCAAGATGTCCTCGGATGACGAATCAGCAAAAGGAAAAGAAAGCGAAAACAAAAACGACGAGGTTGCATACAGTTCTAGATCTGTCAAGTTGAACTTTCTTAATTTAGATTTATTCATCTAACATTCATAGATTCATTCATTTAGATTTATTCATTCATCTAACATACGAATTCTCGTTTCAAAATCTATATGAATCGCTTCAAAAGGCACAATCCCCTATTGTTATCATCGTTTTGGAAAGTTTTCATTGCGATTTAGTTGAGCTCTTCATTCATGGTTCTAGGTTCATAAAAAGGTTCTACAATTGTGCTCTTGATAAGCACTGCTGTTCGTATGATAAGAATAAGTTTGTTGATCACCGAAAATATCTGATACAGTCTCTAAATCGAATGAATGCTTGATTTCGAATAATGGCAAGGTAATTCCGCTTCCTACACTCTAGATTCAGGGTTGAGTTGCTCCGTTCTAGCTCGTCATGTACTTCATTATGCGTTCTCAAAACATACTTCAGTCGTATGACGTATGACATGCGCTTCAATGCAGTTGAATTTTAAAGCTTCACAGCATTTGATGATTCCATAATCGCTATTCAACATTCATATCCTGCTGCAGAAAACATCCTCTGATGTTGAAGCAGGAAGAGGAGAGCAACAAGATGATACATATGAAGAAATCGACGTTGAAGCACTGAAAACAACTGTGACTAATCAGGCTGCAAGGGCATCTGAATCGACTGGTCCACTTGAATCTCATCATCACAAATGGGAATTGACTGCGATAATCATTGGACTCGCCATCACAATTGTAGTATTCGCTCTGACGATAGCTACTTATGTTGAACTAAGTACCTTTATCCCGCTCATTCTTCAATCCATTATTTTTTTCTTCATTGCAGGATCGGTTAAGACGAAATTCAAAACATAACAAGTTCTAGATTCTGATTAGCAAAACAGCTTCCATTACAGTTGCACGCTGAATCGTTTGAATGCTAATCAAAAAGTAACAAGCCTCATCTGCCAGTATGAACAAAGAATTACACTTCAAGTTGTAAATTCATTATTTATGCTCACTGATGTCGGTTTGTGATCGATTCACGCTAAACTGATTTGCCAGAAGACGCTAAATTTTGCATCATAAGGCAACGATATTTGTGCATGAGAACACACGTATCATTTTCAAGAGACTTACACACTCACAATCAGGTTCGATTCGAAATCTATGATTTATTTTGCATATGCAAATTCAGTGTGTTCTCATGCACAAAAATATATGTGTTGTCCATTGGCTGTGAACAGATCCACAGATCAGATTGTAGGTATTTCATGTCACTGAGTAATTCCATCTTGCATTTAAACCTCATATGTTTGCTCTGAATGCTGAGTGAGCAGTGATGACTTAACAATTGTTCAGTACCGTAAGTTATTCTTATAGTACGAACCGTTTCGTGTTGATCACGAATTTGCGGCGATAGATGAATTTTATGAAGCATCCAAGGCTCTCAAAGCCCTCTGTTAGTAAGGAACAGGCATTCGGTTATGGAATATTTTGGTACTGTTGAAATTTTCTGTCCGAATCAATTTTTCAGCATGAAGAAGGGGATGGATGCATTTTCTTTTGTGCACTTTAAATGGTTTAGGTGACATGTTTATAGTCCCACATATACACCGTGATATGATTATTGACTTTTTATTTATCAGCGATCTCAAAAACGTAGCATCAGGAACACACAATTCTCCTTAATTCACACCTGTTGTGTAGATTGTTTGATTCGTGAGATTAAAGAATGAATGTACAAGCCATAATGCAGTGATATTGTCGAGAGCATTTTTAAGTGGACAGGCTACTGAAAATACAATCCTAAAATTTGCAGAATAGTGAACGAAACGTTTGTCATTCGGAGATGCCGATGTTCGTCGTCGTATCGTCCCGAACACTTCACCATTTCAATATCATCAAAATTCAATTGTGAAATTTTTTTTCTTCAATATATTCTCAATGTATTCAATGTATCTTCAATGTATTTTTTCTTCAATGTCACCAACATCAGAATTTTTTTCTTCAAACTTACGATATTTTCTTCAATGTATTCTCCTTAATTCACACTCGTCGCATGTGCCCATACCTGTGCATATGAGCATTTCAGTAAAGCATCAAAAATATGCCCATAAACAACACCATGATAACAAACGCCAGACGTCTTGCGATCGGCCGATTCGAAATTCTCAACGGTCATATATTGATGTTATTTTCTAAAAATGAGCATCACCCTAACATAGGCTGAAATCGAGAATCGCCTCAATCGAAAATAATTGTGATTGCATCAGAATTTTCAATCTCTTGACAAAATCAAACTGCAAAAAGGTTTATTCGTTGTATATTTTGCGGAACAATCATTTTGAAAATTTTTCGTTACCCAATTATGCGAATTGTCTTCTAAGTTAAAGTCAGCGCTACGTCACTTACAATCAGCCGTTCGATGTCATTTGCAATGTGACGTTAATCAGCAATAAAGCATTCCCTAGCGCAGAGGCGAAATAAGATCGATACAGTAAATAAGAGCAACGTTGATGTGTTCAAAGCAATAAACACAATTGAGCGAAATGATCATAATAACTTCAATCAGATAGAGCAACAATCATAACGAAAACTAATGCAACGACCACATTCATTTGAAAAATCACTGATGCTGGTGATACTGATGGACGTATGTAGGCCTGAACTTAATTCGTGCTGGATTTTGTCATCTTTTTTTTTTAGTTGCGATGCTTTTCTTTGATAGAATAAAAAAAATTTTTTTATTGAGCTTACCAACCAGCCAAACACTGAGGTCTTCATCCTCATGTAGAAATCGGCACTCGTTGACGTGTTCAAAGCAATAAACACGATTGATGTACAATGGTTACATTCTGATATGAAAAATAATGTATTGTACCGCATTGCAAATGGGATGCTTGCGAGAGTATGCTATTGGAAAGCATTTGCTATCCATCCAAAAAACTTTTAGAAGGGAATCTTATCAGTGACGCTTCTCGTACACTTTACGACTATAGGAATGATTGACAATGTTTACTGGAATGATTGAATATACTGATCATTTGAAAAATCTTTTGAAAGTAATATTTTATTCACATTCATTGTATGAAACCAATAAGTTGAAATTTTCTTGCGTCAAAATTGTCACTCTTTGAAAACCATTCGAAAATATTCATTTGCTCAGCAGCTTTGTTCAAGAACTCCACCAACGTGAAGATATATTTTTCTTTCGCCTCATCTTGTGGCATTCTCCCCAGTTCATTCCAAGCATTCCTAAAAAAAAACATGCAATAACATCAGACGAGAGCACATTACATTTGTTAGATAAATTTTCTCGACTGGATATTGTTAGTGTGTCAATAGAAGAGAGATTACAAACTGCAAAAAAGCAATGCTGTAGGCCGGAGTTTCTCAAGCGAAGGTACTCGCACCTCCAAGGGGTGCGAGATGGTATTCCATGAGGTGCGTGATAAGGTTTTATTTTTCATACATTAAAGTAGGCGACGGCAGAACTCAACACATACATGTGCATGAAGTAGGTGGGGATGGTCTTTAACGTAGATATTTTTGAAGAGGCTAGAACGTACTCTTGTTCGACGCGAAAAAGTTTCTATTTTTACTGAGCTTTCCAACCAGTTAAACACTGAGGTCGTTATCCTCATGTAAAAATCGACAAACTCGCGCAAAACTGTACAATGGTTACAGTGAATGAGAGATACAGAGCGGATGTTGTGAGGGGATTGAGGACCTTTTAACTGTTGTTGTAGGGATAGGAGGATATCAGAAAATTTTCTAGGGTGTGCGCGGGGAGGAGATAACGTTGAAAACCACTGCTATAGGCGAATTGCTTGAATATTCTAACCATTTATATCGTTCTACAACACTGAAGAATGAGGGTTTTGGAACGTTCACTTGGCCAATGGTCGCTTGCTTGAATAAAGAATAGAAGAGTAGTTTATCGTCGTTCGTGGCTATGAAAGGACCTGAAATTGATGCCATTGAAAATTTCTGCACCTGTAACAAAAACTACGGACTTTGAGCAGTTCCTCATCGGAACTTGATAAGTCCGATTAAAATAAGCAAATTCATGGGTAAGTAAGGATGAGCAGATGAAAAGATTATACTTATGAACGTTCCGGAATCACAGTGATAGTTTGGGATGTTAAGGTGAATCTATTGCTTCGTGCGATAGAATATATCCTCCGACGTTACATCACTCACAGAATGTCTTTAAAACAGTTACATTTTGTGGAAAATTTTCCTGCGTTCTCAAGCAATTTATCTCTTCATCTTTTGCTCTACTGAGCTGTTGCGCAGTCACTGCTGCAAAGATATTCGTCAAGCAGTTACTTTCCATGGGATTGTTCTCAGAGAGGATAATTTGAGGATATCAGAGGGGAATTAAGAAGTCTGATGAATCCCTGTCTTTCGATTTCTGAAAACAATTCCCCTATGCTTGCCTAATGATGCCCCCAAAATATTTGTTCGATCACAAGGAACTGATTTCGCTGACGTGACGCATGAATTCGTGGCAGCAAACATCGTTATCAATTAATAACTTCCGTGATTTTCTCCTCAATTGTCGCCGAAAGATTGGCAGAAGAGGGTAAATTGTGGTCATTCAGAGTGTTGGCGAGAAAAGGCGACAGAGGTGGAGAACAGGGATGTAGAAAGGGGAGCGTAGTGTAAATGAGCCAGACAATCACTACCTTCGAAGAAGACAACAGTATATTCCGAAGAAAAACTCTACATGGAAATTCTTGGCCCTGAATGTTAAGTGCAATTCCGTGAGGAATTTTCGAACATGAATAATAAATATGTTCCAGTTACGTACCTTCTTTTGGTAGAGTTTGCACAATTTCCACGGCCGCTTCGAACTGCTTATCTAATGGCGGCGACATAATGGTGCTGAAATAATTCTCATGATTGGCTAGTGATCTTTTGAATAATGCATCCGTCGTATAGAGAATTTATTCTTTTCTTGATTGCTTTGACCCGGATTCCAGCCACTGATTATTTTTGTGCACAATAAAGAAATAAAGGCAAGTATCAGAGGAGCTGACCTTATTTGTGCTTGTCACACGGGACTTGTTGCTTTTACTGATTCTGCCTAACCAGGGAATCTCTTCAGTTATGCGGTTGTCCACAAGCGAGTTCTTGTTCACTTCCTTCCAGCGATTTCCTCAAAGTTGGGTAATTAAACCTTTGCCACCAAAGCAAAAAATACAATAATTCACGAATATCGCACATAAATTGTATACAATAGATAGATGATACCTAATAATTACTGCAAATCTTATATAAAATAATGCATGTCATACAAGTATTAATTACAATTTCTATTTTATAAGGACCTACAAATTCCAGATTTAACAAGTTATCAGCATAAAAAGCATTAAAATGAAGCATTATATTATTTGTTAATCATTCGTATCATCTCAGAAGTCAGTGTCGTCTGATCAGCGACTTTTTGTTAATTTCCTAAATGTTACGCTACCATTGCACCTGTTATTTCACAACCCTTCATTCAGCATTCCTTTTAATCGTTTTATCAGATTGCTTCATTTTCTTGCTTTCCGCAGTTCTTTCCTGCGACATCCTTTAAAAAGTTTCGGACGTGCACATTCTAGCTCCGTATTGTTCTCGTTCATCTTGTATTATTTGTGCAACGGTTTATAAATTCTAAATGACTGTCAATAAATTGCACGAATCAAAATGAAATGCTGTACAATTCAGCGGTAAACACCAGAAGGTGGGGGCTGATAAAAAGAAACTATCCATTGTGATTGATTGATAAAGTTGAAGAAAATAAAAGGATTATAATTGAAACGAGTTCAGTCGCAATCATTTCATTGCATCAATTTGAGACAATGGACTGATGAAAGAAGGAACAAAATGACATATTTGCAACCGGGAAGTCTTCTCAATGATCGCAATTCGGTTTATTATTTTTGATTTCGTCTCAACAAATCAATATTGCAGAATCACGAAATCGAAACTGGAATTTCATGAGATAATTAATATGATGAACTGACTTCGGTTGGCGTGAAAATGAGACACGTATAGAACGCGATTCAAAAAATGGGCACAAAACGCAACCTGAAAGGCAATTAAATAATGAAAGTTGGCGTGGACAATTTATGTGAAAATTAATAAGGAGAGTTCGTCTTCTCATTTTTTCTCTCATTCTTTTACAGGTTTCCATACATCAAATATGTTTTTGTGATCATCAAGTGATAGTCATGATGGGTGCAAATGGAACGGTCGAAAGAAATGTCGACAAGCAAAAGAACGACTATTGTTGCTGCTATCGTTTCTACCAGAAATCTGTGTGTTGAACATGAGATCGAGTCACTTTTGAACACGAGATTGCAAGATCCGAATATGCGAATTGCAATCGCAATTATGGAATATTCGGGATGATATATTGAAACAACATAATTTTCATTTTTTTAATTCCCAGTCGAAATCTGCAACGTCTAATGTAATAATGGGAATTCTTTCAGGATACCCCGAAAAATATTTCGCTAACACAACGTTCACTTGAAATCATAAAGTATTTTGGTTAGGATTCATACCATTCACATGAACACTGAATTGATGTTGACATTAGAGTATTGGATAAAATTCATCAAGCAGAATAAACGTATGGAAAATCGGGAAAAGTTATCATTCGAATCGCACTCTATGTATTTTTTTCTTGTTCGAAAAAAGAATAATAATTCTCGAACTTTTGCTATCCGTGATCACAGTTTGCCTATATGACGAAAATAAATCAGCGGAAAGTTAAGATGCTTTATCACAGCAATATTTTACTGCAATAATTGACGATCTGATTGCTGAAACTGCAAAAATCAAGTTTTGGACATATTATCGATGACTTTTCCAGCCTATTGAGCACCGAAACCATTTCGTTTGGCTTTATTAGGTTTTCATTTACTGAGTTGCGAATATTAAGTAGGAAATGTGTTTGAGAAATGAACGAAATGATCAGCTTCATTAAAATAACTGACACCAAATAAACATTCTCACTAATCAGATAACCAGTTAGTTCTATCGTTTGAGCAACGCTGATGTGACGAATTTTATCATGAAAGTGATTTCCTGATTAGCTCGGTTTATACCACCAAATTCGATAACATTATTTTCATTCACCAACATTCCTGTTCAGCAAACCACCTTGAAATAGCGTTAGGACAAATGCAAAATGCGATAGGTTCTTGAAAGCATTGAAGAAATGCTCGAGTAAAATTGAGGCCTGAAACAAACAGCGATGGAACATGAAAATGGTGAAAATCTCATTGTACATCTAGCACACTGATCAAAAGCAGATCTCTTAAATTGAATGGGTGGAATGAGGAGGAGAAAAATTTCTGGCATACAATTGTGTGAATGGGCTCGTTCAGTAAACCAATGGAACTAATAAATATGAAAACTCGTTCGACTCCAAGATACACTTCAATGAACGAATGGAGAAATGAACAGTGATACGTTTGCATGAGTTTTGCAACGTAAAAAATACAGAAACACCGAAAAGGAAACATTTCGTTTCAGTGAAAGACGAATTTTTGCGTGCTCAAAACAAGAGAAATTACGCGATTATTTTTTTTNTTTTTTTTCATCACTCACTGATGTTCCTTCGACAAGTTATCAAATATACGCACATTATCTGAGCAGAAAAGTTTCGAATGAAGACACTGAAGTGAAATTGAGAGAGTTAAATTGAATGAAATTCCGTTAAAGATGAAATAATACATTTGCAAAATTGAGATTAATGTTTATATGTGACTGTATTCAAGATGTATGGATGAATAAGGATTGGTGAACGAGGTGAATTTGTGTCAAAAGATGATAAATGAAAGTGATGAACCAAACCGGAATGTCTTTTACGATGGTTAATTAAATGGTACATCTCCAATGGTCATTCAATTATAAGTTGGTATTCAATCATCTTCATGCAACATTATGCGAAACTAATTGTTTGCGATGAACAATCGTCATATTTTATGCCCTCACGATCTATTCACTAATCGAGAACATATAGTATCAATTATTCCAGTATTTGTGACCGGTATTTGGGATCAAATTTGAATGACATACCCTGATCTGTCAGGTCGGGATGGAGTGGCCATAGGAGACCATATCTCGACAACAGATCATCTTCATTCGAACGAAATCTGAAAAAAAATTAAAAATTAAAAAAATTAAAAAAATTCTAGACACCACATTTACAGCCCTTTAAGATGTCGATCGTTTACATCACAATTTAACTATCTTCAACATGAAATTATTTTTCTTCACCACAGATAAACAATCAATCAATGAACCTCAACAACCAGAGGTTACTTTATCCGATTTGCAACTTAAACGAGCGATCGTAGTCGGCGACCCTCAATTCTCATACTATAGCAACAACATTTCACTATCTTCTGACGAGATCGCATAACAGATTGGCGACAGAATGAACACAATGACATTTTGAGTTGCTTATCCCTCGAGATAAGTTACCACCGTGACAATTCTGAAACAGCTATCGATAAGAGTATGAGTGAAAACTTGAAATGAATTTCTTGCCTCAACGAGAAATATTGGAACAAGACGAGGATCCTTTATTACTGCCCCAGTAGAGCATCGCATTCCGTAAACGCGAGAATGATTTGAGCAAATTGGAACTGCATAA